TCTTTCCTCTCCTTAACTCATTAACCTAATAGGAATGACCTTTCATAAGAGGCAAAAAGTCAAATGAAGATACTTGAAAGGCAAACTGCAATCCCAACACATAGCTTGAACTAAGGACTGCAAAATGGTCAGAAGTACCTGAAATGAATTGCTAATTTAAAGACCAGTCATACCGGGCAATATGGCTTGTGGATAAACATTAGGTTTATTTTTCTTGACTGCACAGTAGATCAAAAAGTAGATGGTACTTGTAAGAAATATTCCACTGAAGTGTGCAAAAACATAATCTAAATCTGAAAGAGAAATTACAAAATTATATTACTATAAAATATCAGTTATAAATTTTAACACAATTTATGTCACTGATAGCATTCATATAGACAAGGAGGTGCTGCTCCTAACAACTCAAATTCAAATCTTGTTGTGACAAACTCAGTTGCCAGTCTGACTGTGGATGGATACAGTCAATGACATACATTAAATATGAATTAATTGATGTGCTGACTCCAGCATTTATTACAGCCTTCTATGCACTTCTGTGAGTTATTTTTGGAACTCCCTATTAGTGAATTAATTTAATAAACCCTTAAGAATATATAGCCTTGTTTCTTTTTTGTACATTTAAGGGCAATACAACTGCACATGAGCTAAATGTGGCAGAGTTTTGGCCTTTTTTTATCTTGAAGGATGTTTTGTAATTTTCACCACTACAATTATTAACAATAATGAATCCTTTATGTGCTTTGTATGTGCTAAAAAGAGTATTTCCAACATGGTAAAGCAGAAGCATGTAGCAAGGCAATCTCTGTCTCCTTGGAGCTGTAAATTCTGAACAGGAAAGTCAGCTAGAGTAATGACAACATCTGTTTTGCCTAGCTGAGGAATATATAAATTGCAGTATTCAAGAGAAATTGTATGTGACAATGGCAACATTATGTGATCTCAGCAACACTTTGCTCTTAAGCTGCTGCTATTACCTCATAGAGTATAACCTAAATTTAAAGGATAATGTTCAGAGGAAATGCTGTTCGAAATTGGCAATTAGGTTTATGATAAAAGGTTTCAATTTAAAAAAATCTACATGGCTTTAATTACTTTTGCTGTCATATATCTGTTCTATTCATCAGTTATGATCAACCTGCATTTCTTCTTTTATTGGTGCACTAATTTGGCAATTGGCAAGCTTGAGTCCTTGTTTACCTCATTCTCCAGGCATACAAACTTTGCATTTTGAGAGTGTTAGTATTTAATGTCTTCTGAAACAGCTATGAGTTAAGTATTGTAGCTTTTGGTCTGTTTCTCACTGTTTTCAATCATGTGATTCTTCTCTGAGAAAAAAGGAGTGCTAGGACTATGATTACGACAACATATAGCCCAGAACTGATAAATTGCCATAGTGGATTTTCAGGCATATCAAGAATTTCACCCCATGTCTTTAAAAAAAGCAGGAGAACACAATGGCGAAATAAAGCAGAATTGATCTATTAGCCTTTACCAAACTGACTTGCTCCTGTGTATATAGTTTCATTTCTTCTTCCATGGTCCTTGATGTAAAGTACTGGTACAAAACTGGAACCGTAGAGTATTCCAGCAACTACAGCCAGGCTACATCCTCTTTAAAGAGAGCAAAAATTGGAGAAAATAGCCTAGCTTTAATTAAGGAAGTAGACAACATACTTAAGCACAGTATTGAAGTTAAAGACTGTGTATCATATGCAAATTCTAGCTCTAAAAATAATATATTTTAGCACATTTATATTTTCTTGTGTAGAAATTGTTCATTTAGTTTTCCTATACTTAGTGGCCAAGTAACACAGACAATTTCTGCTCCAAGACTCAGCAGTCTAGATTAATGACATGGGAAATCAGCTAACTAGGATTTCCTAAAAACAGAGCTAGGGGAAAACAAACAACAATAATATTAAAAATGCTCCTGCCATCAGCTTCACTGTTGCAGTCTATATATTCTCTGTAGCCATTCCCAGGTTCATTGCCTCTTTAGTCTGTCTCTGCTTCAGATTGCTGTGCTCTTGAAAGTCTCCACTCCCCACACTGGGCCCTTGCTAGCTGCTGCTTCCACCTTGGAGCACTTCTGCTGTGCTCTTATCATACTGCCATGCCTTCTCCAGACGTATTCCCTTGGAAACCACACTTTGAGGCATGTTATTAGCATAGGTTTCTTCTGTGCTGGCATGCTAATCAACCAGGTGATAAAAACAGCTCTGTAATTACTTGGTTGATATTGTTATTTACTTTGCCACATGATTTTTTTTGGTAGCACTACCCCATACTTAATTGACAAGGTTAAGCACACTTAACAGGGCCAAGGAAATAATCTAGTTAGTTGTGCAACTATTCATAAATAGATATGCACACTATACTAATATGTAAAATCCTGGTATTTATTAGTGCATAATTTTACAAGGAAGACCACAGGACACAAATTCTGCTCTTATGCCGTGTTCAACTGCTTTTTCTGGCTACTTGGTCTGTACCAGTAAAAGAACTGCTAATAACTTACATGAGTCTCTTTTTTGCTGGAGAAAGTCTGTTCACCCATGAGTCATCAGAGTCATCTTCAGAAACATTAATAGACTGCAAAAACACAAGAGTTTTCACGGAAGTTTAGTTTTGTTTGATTTCTTAAAATCTCACACATTGTATTAAACAGAAGTTTTGTCTAAGAAAATAAAATGAAAACAGAAGCAAAACCAACAGGAATTTACAGAAATACTCTGAAGAAAATAGATATATTTTTTAAAAATAAAACTAATAATTGGATCTATCTATCTTGAAGTTTACAAGTATGAGTTTGGATATAGACTTCAGGCTTACTCCATAACAGAGTACTCACTCGCATTTTTTTTTACATCTGCATGCAGGTAGATCTGACCTTAGTAACTTAAACTTGATGAATGTTTTAATCTATAGATTTTATTTAAGATGTGGTTTTACCTTTTGTTGATAGCTCACTAAGTATTAGGACTATTTGCGAACGGGGAAATTAACACCCCTGTCTGCAGTATAAAGAAATTGCAACATTCCTTTATTCTAATCCTGCAATCAAACTGTCTTCTGTGATTTAGTCTGGTAGACTGGAACCTCTACTAAGCACTGAGCACAGCTAGAAAACTCTCAGGGGCTCTCCATTCAGGTAGTAACTGGACACTGACCTCTAAGAGTAAGGTACAATGGTAATAGGAACCTATTGTTCTCCAGCTGTTGTTGCATACCTTGGGCTCCCAAAGGAGCAACAGCCAGTATGGTACCCCTCCTTGGCCTCCAACCCATGCCACAGCTGATGATGACAGTCAGTAACCCTTGACAGTCTCCTGGCTCTGTAATCAGGCAAAAATCTGGCTTTTCACCTGAGCACTCTCCTAGCTTCATAGCTAAAGTTTAATTGAAATTGCTTCCTCTTCTCACATAGTAAAGTAATACACTCTGTCTTTTGTATAATCTCCATCATAATGGAAAACGACTTTCTAAGTCATTTAAAGCTGACAATCAAGAAAGAACACTTGGGAAAACCTCTTCTGTTGCTAATATTCAAATGGATATACACGACCCACAAAGTAAGACACAATCAATATATAATTATGTTGTTTTATCTAGTCTACCATAAATCCTAGGAAACCTGGCTAACAAACATATTTTTTGCTTTTAAATGGGTATGCACTTTTGCTGCCGTGAAATAACAACTGTAGAGTACTTACACTTTCTCTCAGTAACGGAGTGCTTTCTAATGAAGCTGAAGAACTCTGGACTTCAGTTTTTATAAAAAGAAATATGACAGCACTCGGAAGAGAAAAATACAGCAATAAATACCAATTCAGTTCATAAGGACATAACATTTAGTGTTCAGAGACAAAAGTTATATTTGCTATTATAAAGTTACATTTGCTGTTATACTTTGTTTTCATTATTACACTAGAGTCACTTCAATATATTTTAAA